ATTTATTTATTTATTTATTTATTTAGGGCCAGGTGCTGCGAGATCCGTTTGCAAGGAGTTCTAATTGGGTTAGTGGCAGAGTGGGATAAGCGTGTAAAGCAATGCAAAGTTAGACATACCTCATCAAAAACTTCAGATCCCATAAAATGCTGTATGCAATTGTCTATAAGGAAAAACAAACACGATGAAAACCTGAAACATATTCTCCCATCTACTCAGGCGCTGACTTGCAGAGCCCACCAGTTACAGAATTCACTCCGCTTTCTGCATTCGCACAATAAAGAATTATTTTGGGTTTGGCTCATACAACAGACTAAGCTAAAAAGTTAAAAACAAAACAACAACAGTGAGTTTTGCAAATTGTGGCTGTACAGACGTGAGCTCTTTGGCTGACCCACAGAAGCATGCTGATATCATGCAGATCTAGCCACAGCTTGCAAGAAAATGGGTGCGTTGCTAAAATCAAAGCAACCAAAAATCTGGAAAACACACACTAGGGAAAACACCAATAGCCAGCCCAGAATCTGCAGGGAGATTTCAGCTTTTCTTGATGCGTTGGCCCAAAGGCCCCTCATTTAACAGATTTTCCATTTGGATTTCACCCCACAAATAACAGAGAGATCCCTCTGGACAATTTATGTCATTTGCACCAATTCCCAACGTAACTGAATCTGTTGCATTTTTTACATAATTACAGGATTGATATTTATATGACATTTGCATCAGTTTAGGATGATGGTGGCTTTTCATAAGTCGCCAAAGCTAAAAAGAAAACATTTGATGCCTTTAGTTATTGATTGCCTTACGTTTAATCGAGGGTTGGCTGGTTTTTATTCTTATACAATGGACATTTTATTATGTTTTTTACAGACATATTGTAAACTGCTGAGACTTTTGATTGTGGAGTGTATAAATAAATAAATCCGTAGTTGTGTAACTGACATGCTTTTGCAGAGTTATTTAGCTCATTTGCATTATGCAAACGCTGTAAGTTGACCAAAAATGCAAAACATCAATGATGTAATTACATTAATTACATCAATTATATACATTTGGATTTAACAGGGATCTCAGTTTAATGAATAATCTTGCCTCCCAAACAGTCCATTAACTTGAGATTTTGCTGTACAATAAATTATTAACTAACCAAACAGAGTGGGTTCAGATAATACACTAAAGCATTAAAGAAAGAAGAAACTAGCTCAATTAAAATTAATCAAGCTTAACATCTTCTGTGAATGCGACCAGTCAGTTTTTCCCTGGCCTACTTATCCATGTTGCATGAACCTAGTGATGCAATACTTAAAAAAAAATCTGCAAAAGGTTTTGGAATGGAGAAGTTGACAAGATTTCTTACCTGTAATGCAATAATTCCAAATAAACCAAAACAGGCATACTGGACAAAATTCCTACTGAGCACAAGAATGCAACCACCTAGAAAAACAGAAAAATGTAAGAACAGTTCTAATGGATCAGGCCAAAATACATCCTAAGGCAACATCTGCTTCTCAGAGTAGTCAACCAGATGTCTCCAGGGTACTCTCCTGTTGTGTTCCCCAGCATCTGGGATTTGGGGGCAGGCTCTCCCCACCTCAGAGGTAACATGGCCTCTCCAGCGTGGATAGCCCTTGATGGACCTGCCCTCTACAAACTGATCCATTCTTTTTCAGAACTATCCAAGCAACTCTCTTCTTTGAGGCCTTTCAACCAGAACTGGCAGCATGTTTTCCCACCGTTTTGAGGTAGGAAACTCAAAAACCAACCGTATATTCAACTAATATCAGAACTCAGAAAAACCTAAAACCCTTGTTCCACCCACAGCAGGCCTTGCCCTCTAAAAAAATGTCAGGTAGTCCTCCACTCCAGAACCTGTCCACTCTCTTGAGCTAAACCCAACATGATCTCCTGAGCAGCCGTGGCCGGAGCTCCAATTTAGTGCCACTGGGTTCCAAACCCAATTCCTGATTCTGCACCCCAAGAAATCCAGCTGCTGTCCAGCCTGAACCCTGCGTGCTACTTACTTAATTGCCCAAAGAGGTTAATGAACACAAAGATGGAAGCCAGGAGATAGCCACAGTTCCACGTGGTGTCGATGTAGTCTCTCTGCTCGCTCCACTGGAACCACATGCGAATGCCGTCTTCCAGGAATGTGCTGATCAGACAGAGACGAGCCATGTGAGGAAGGTATTGTTTAGTCACACGCAGGAACTGTCACGAGAGGGAAAAAGACACATAAAGAAGGGGCAAGAGGCTGGATCCCCTCTCGCTCCATTTCCTTCCAAGGGGGTTGACTCTAGAGAACACAGAAACATCAGGAAGGGACTGAGTAGATCTGTCTTCCCCCATCCCCAGTCAGGTGCCTGCTAAAGACATCGGATGGAAACCGGCATTGTCCCTGGCCACTGCAGTCCCTGATAGTGCCAGATGGGGATCATGGGAGCTGTAATCCATTGCACAGAGGAAGCTGCAAGCTAGTGAAGATCATTCCACTGCAGTCCTCAGTGAGCCTTCCAAGGAGTCCTCTGCCAACCCAATTCAGCGTGAAAAGGTTAGGAAAGGCCAACACAAGCAGATTGGGATTCCTAACTGTATTTTGAATGACAATCTCTGTCTCCTTTTAGGGTCAAAAGGACTTAAAGTCTGTGGCTGCTGCCTACAGGTACCATGAGGATCACATCTCAACGTCGGAATCAATCAAGCTGTGCAAGGCAGATTGGCAAGCACTGCTTTGATTAAAAACCCCCCCCAAAAGTCAATGCTTCGCAAGACAAAAAACCTTTTATTTAAACAATACACCTATCATATTAATTGCAGGGATTCATAAAGAAATCAGTCCATATAACATTAACAATCTAGGGAGAAAAGCAAGCTTCTCCACTCTGTGGCACTGGAATTTCTTTTTGCTGGGCCAACTCACTTCGCTGGCATTTGTCAACAGAGCGAGGGCCTCGGACGCGAAAGAAAGAAAGGTTTTGGGAAGAGGGCGCAGCTTCCTTCCTCTTCAGCCAAGTCGTTAAACCCTCCAGCCGAAGGACGGAACGCAGAACAGATGGCTGCTAATAAGATTATAAGAACGGCGAGGCAATGCCTTGAGTGGGAAAATTTGCAGAACCAAAAACCGCGTAGAGGAAACGGAGCCACGTGGAGCATGCCCCGTTTTCAGTTACTTCTAATCCCATTCCGCGAGGAATCAGGATAGTTTTGCAACTTCGAAGCATAATTCGGTCATGCGAGCTGCCTCCTGTGACATTACTACAAAATATCTGGTCAGCTTAATCCCTGTCCCCTTTCCTACGATTAAACAGCACGCGGTGGATTTTCAAAGAAAGCATCATCTCTTGATGTTGCATTTTTGAGAGCTTTTCTTCAAAGAGACTCAGGAGAGAAAACATGCTTTGCTCGCGTCAATTCTGGAGTTTTTGTTATTTTTAAGGATTTGTTATTTTTAAAGGAACAAGTTTTTAGCCCTTATGGTTACAACCCCCCCCCCAAAAAAAACCCTCACACTGGTAAATGTGTGGACCGTGTTTACTGAAACCTCAGACAGCAGAAGTACAGTTGCTGAAAATGATTCTCAGCAATGAGAAAACAGCTTTAGTCTCTTGCCCCTCTCCGTGACTAGCAAAATACAACAATAATTGCATCAGGAGAAAAAGAGAGGTGATGCACATTTTCTTGATTTCTATCATTTGCATCCAGTTTTTCTTTGCGCATTTTATTCAAATTAACTTCGAAGCCTCAGTCACAACTGGAGTTCCAAGAATGTGGCCATCGTGTTGAAACTGGTCTCTCATTCAAACCAATAAAATGAAGATGAACCAAATAGTTATAAACTCCTATCTTTAAAATCAAGCTGAGATCCATCTGAAATAATAAATACTGCCCATTTCAAGACAGACAGTAATCGTCTCTAATCAAAACCACCACCTTCATGGAAAGCACCATAAGATGTGGGAACCCCCATTACAAAGACAAATAAGAACCTGGATGTTCAATTCCCACAATTAACTTTGGGCCACCCCAAACTCTGCATGTTGAAATAATCGAGGAACATATTCTGACTACAACAGGACTGAAGATGATTTTTTATCAGCAGCACTGTCTATAAACTGCTGTCTAGCAACCAACTGTCAGACAAGCTTAATACAAAAGCAGAATCTAGGTCAAATCTTGGTCAAGACTTCCCTGCATATAGGAAAATCTGGAGAGAGCCATCTCAGATGCAACCGCAAGCAAAGGATGTTTACTAAATCCAGTTAAGATTGGGAAATCCTGATCAGAACACTTGTGTCCAGGTTTGACAACCTCTTTTTCCTTTTTATCACTGCCTGCAGTGGGCTCAAGTTCTTGCACAACCCATAAAGCTGTTTCTCCATTCATCTAAGCAAGTTTTAATGAAACCTTTCAGATTTCCCCCACCACCCAGCATTCGGTCTTCATGCATATGCCAATTTTGTATGTATGCGTATGTGTGTGTGCATATAAATATATATAAAACATGCACGCAACCTATTGTTAGCACATTTCAATAATCCCATAGAACTGTCTAGTTTTGCAGCAGAGCAAGAAGAAATGCATAGTAATTACCTGGAGGAGTTGGCAGAGAAATGAATTCATCTGCAAAACCCTATGAGCTGGCTTGCAAATAAACGCCAAGGCACGCAGAAAACTTGTGGGTCTGAATAGAAAAACTGCCTTTGCTATCGTGGCAGATATCTATCAGTATGGCTAACATTCATGGCAGCAAGGTGGATGGATTAATACAGTGGGGATGGGTGCACCATTGAAAGAGCTGAAGGACTAGGTTAGGGACAGATCGTCTTGAAGAAGGTCTAACTAGGTAGTCACTAAGAGTTGACATGAGTTGGTGGCACATAATCTCTATCCACGCAAGTCACACAATCCCTAGAGAACTCTGTAATGCTGGGAAAGGTGCAAGGAAAGAGAAGAGGATGACCAGCAGTAAGGGCGATGGACTCAGTCACAATGGTGATGGGGGCACCATGGGAAGACCTGAAGGACCAGGAGACAGATTGTCACGGAGAAGATCTATCTACGTGATTGGTAAGAATTGACACCGACTTGATGGCACATAATCGATCATGCAGGAAGAGCAAGACCCTCCACCTTTCAGAATCATTCATAGACAGAACTTTATTACAGCCAAACAGCAACCAGAGAGAATACTTAACACTACTAAGCAGTAATATGAAAGCAGTAAATAATGTATTAAAGAATACTTTCCATCATTTCTAATCCTCAGGAGCAAATTCATTCCTTACAAGGACATCAAATCTTACTTTTGTAAATGCTCCCCTGTGTTGGGGAAATAGAAGGAAAGAGAGGGGGAAACTTTCCTTGGAGGCATGTAAAACTGCTCTTCCTCCATTTACAAACCTGGTTCTTGTGGATAAGCAGCATCCTCAGTTCATTGCCTTATTTCCATTTTGGCTAGCTTGTAACCCAAGAAGAAACCAAAACGGAACAAAGGTTTAGAAGCGTGGCCTAATTCCGCCTAGACTGAAAGTTCTTGAGGAATACACGAGAGATCCAGCCACCAGGAAGCATGCACTCTTCAACCTTCAGAATCACAGAATGGAAGCGTTCAGAGGGATCCTGGAGAGCATCTAGCTCAACCCCTTGCCAATGGAGGAATCTGTTGGCCATCTGTTCGTTGTGCCAGACAAACTGTTGCCCATTCAGTCTCTATGTAACTACCACCTTCCATGTGTTTTAAGAATGTAAACACATTTTCTCTCTCTTCTATTTTTATAAATGTGTGTGTACATATAGACACACCCTGTTATCTGAAAGGCAATTTTAAAGCAATTGGTTCTCGTTTTACTGTCAATGAAATGGCTGCAGCACGCTAATCAATCAATTAATGATAAATCAATCTGTCCAATCTAAGGGCAAACATAACCTTGGGGAGCTCCTAGTGGGCTGGACGCTTGCTATTGTTTATACAGTGCGAGCAATGTCAACAGGGTTTTTGGAGAGGAACAGAAAAGAACAAACAGCAACCATGTTCATAACAAATTAGAGAAGAGCCAAGAGCTGGGATCATGGCTCCTTTTGGGTTGGCGATTTTGTGGCTTAACACGTTGGGCTTAGTGTGTGCACCAATGAACTGGGCCATCCCAAAAAGTAGCTACTTCAGGAATTAAGATAAATGTCTTCTTTGGTTTTTAGCTCAGTGTCTTACACAAACGTAGTCATTGTCCCATGTCAACTGGAACGTCTGACTTTGCTGGGTGTGAACTCAGCCAATTATAGTTTATTCAGTAAACCATGGTTAGATAAGCCATGGTTTGACGCATAATTGGAAGATCTCAATAAGTAGGGGCAAACAATCATGGACATTCTTGTGCAGCAGCACAGCTTCCAAACCAGCCAATCAACCAACATGTTATGTTCTTTGCAACACAACCCTGGCTCCTGAGTAAATCTTTATCATCCAGATACATTGCAAAAAGGAAGAGTTTTTTGTGTCTCAGCCGTTCTGCACGATCACATTAAACTGCCTGCTGAGACCATACACCCTGGGGTCACGCCGTGGCCGCTACCCGTGTTTCAGAACTAGAGTCCAGATAATGATGCCAAGGCGGTACACAAGCTATGGTTTATCTATCTCTGGTAAGTCCAGTAGAACGCAACCCACTCTTTCAAGGTGCTTCGCCAACCCCACAACGACATTGAAAAGAGGCTGAGCCCAACTGGCACGTGGAAGCATTCAAGGCACTAACCTAGCATCAAAGGAACTATGATAGCAAGTCAGGATGTGCAACACTTTGGAACACGCTCATCTGCAAGCCCCCCCACAAAACAACTGGGTCTTTTCTTGAGTTATTCTTGAGTTAAGTTTATGTGAGTTAGGAAGATACCAACAGCCCACTGACTCCCGCTGGCACTTCTTTAACTCCCAAGTTGTTTAACTTGGAAGTACCTTTTTGGTATTGGGTGCAAAGCTCTACATGTCTCTGGCGACAAGGTTCACACCACGCATTAGACTAGGCTAAAATGGGTTGATTGGTTTGTAGTTCATTGTGAGAAGCAAGCCAAGATCTGAGCATGTATTTATTGAGATATATCCTCTTCTGTGAACACAGGCATTGTATTTTGTCAATTGGAGTTTAGGGGTTCAGCACGTTGTCTGGATTAGTCACATTGGAACAGAAACATGAAACAGAGCAAGGTGCTGCTGGTCACAAACATATGCTTCACTGTGCCAGACCTAGTTTATATCAGATTATAAGAATACCAGATTGTAGCTTTCTTTGTTCATTGCCTAGGAAAAAAATACCAGTGAAGTCATCTTCTGGATCATTGCTATGGCCAAAAATTATTGGCAAGGGTTTTTTTGCCAGCTACTCACCAGACTTTTATGTTTCTCAATATTTGCGTTCACTTTCAACAACAGCTGAATGCCTGTTTTGTTTTGTTTTGTTTAAAAGGCAAGCCAAAAAGCAACCTGACCTAACTTTTTGCCCTCTTCATAGGACGCTTGAAAAAAATAACATCGGGACAGAAAGAAGTGCTAACTCACAATTCATTGAGCTAGCCAACATGCTGAATTGGCCATGCTCATCCTAGGATGGTTGCATCAAACTGCACCAACGCAATCCACCCGAAGAAGTGAGGCAGGGCAATAAGCATTTTTATTCATTTATTCAGAGAGAAGAGGGAGCAGGAAGAGTTTTAAACACTTGCTTTGGATCCAGTCAGCTCATCTACTCGGCACAGTATGAGAAAAGAACTAACTAAGGTTAACCCTTGCCAAGCATAGCATGTGCTACAATTCCAGGTCTTCCCCTGACTCAGGGAAGTGTGTTGTGTGAAGACAGACATCGCCATAGACAGGGTGACCAGATTTACCTGTGTACTCCAAGGGGAAAAACTGACGTGGGGAAAAATCACCCTTCCTCAATCAGGCACCTTCGAGACATACCAGATTGCAGTATTCATCATCCTCAGACCAACTCGTATCATCAGAGGTGTGGCAGGCCCCTACCCTCCCGGCTTTCTGGGAAGGACTAAAGACCTGGCTCTGCCAGCTTGTGTGGGGGTGACAAGAGTCTTACCCAATCCTGGGGGTGGCTGGCTCCTTGATGACACTCCCCGAGTGACTGCCAATTTTAACATCTATCCTTGGATTATATTTATTTTCTATTGATTTAGGATTATTTTGTACTGTAATTTTAATTGGATTTAACCGCTTTGTAAACCTCCCAGTCATTTTTTAATGAGATGGGCAGTGACAAATGTGATATATAAGTAAATATAAATAAACTGATTGAGAATGAAAGGTATAATCAAGGCATCCAAAGTGCAGAGATGGAAAAAAAAATAGATTCTACTCCAAGCAAGGTTAGTTCTTGGAAGTTGATCAAATTCCTCAGTGCTACAATGATTAGGGAAGAAAAGAGTCCAGCCAACAACCTCTGGGGGGGAGCTGTTAGATTGGTCTACCATTTTGTAACGGAGGGCATGCATTCCAAGAAGCCAACACGGCCTGTGTTTTGCTGAATGCGAGATGAGACCCCGAACCCTTAAGCCGTGGTTCATGGCTGAGGATGCATGTGAGGATAAATGGAAGCTTATTCAGCAAACCTGGTTAATGCTAACCGTGTCTTAGCCCCTTGGGGGCCTTGCACCTCTGATGGTGAAGAAGAAGCCACATCCCCTCGAAGAGGGCCCTCCCTGAAGCAAATCTCTCCAAGGCTCTAGATTCAACCAGAGAGCGCCGGAGCCACGGCACCCTTCCCTTTTTGTCTGGCAACAACCCCCCCGCCAAAGGGGGGGGGCAGGGCTGATGGGGGGGGGGGGGAATTGTCCCTGCGTTTGCCCCCAAAAAAGGGAGACTGAGATTTCCTCTTTCGGTTTTTCCCCG